CCACCAGTGTATGAGAGAGGAGGATAATTGTGGGTTCAAATAGTTTTCACATTCTGCTGTTTCATATAAAATGTTTTAAGCTGTTTTCTAAAATAATGAGCTCTGTAATGTTGAATTAAATTTTGTACTAGAATGGACCACCATCACTGAATGAAGAAAAAGCGGTGGCAAGTGTGTATTTCTGTGAACCATTAAGGGTTCAAGTCTGCCTCCACTAAAGTAAATGGGAGCTTAGCTATTGACTTCCAGGAGGGAAAATTGGACCCTAAATACAACACAATACATAAAGTAGAGGGACTTTGCCCTTTTTCAAGCAAGCATAACGTTCTATACCACAGACATCTACACACATCTATTCTATACCATAGGTGCTGGAACTAGGGGGTGCTGCCACACCCCCTGGCTTGAAGTGGTTGCCTTTATATACAGTAACTCCTCTCTTAATGTTGTAGTTATGTTCCTGAAAAATGTGACTTTAAGTGAAACGATACTAAGCGAATCCAATTTCCCCTAAGATTTAATGTAAATGATGAGGTTAGGTTCCAGGGAAATTTTTTTCACTAGACAAAAGACATATACACACACACACACACACACACACACACAAAGTTTTAAACAAACAATTTAATACTGGTACACAGTGATGATGATTGTGAAGCTTGGTTGAGGTGGAGGAGTCAGCGGGTGGGATATTTTCCAGGGACTGCCTTACTGCTAAATGATGAACTAGCATTTGGCTGAGCCCTCAAAGGTTAACTCATTGTTAATGTAGCCTCACTCTACAAGGCAGCAGGCATGGAGGGAGGGGAGAGAGCATAGCAGACAGAGACAGAGACACACCTGTGTGTGTGTGTGTGAGAGAGAGATGCACATTTCCCCTTTAAGTAGCTGACTCCAGTCTTAAGTACACTGCCTTGGTAATTAGATCAGCTTGCTGAGACGGCAGCTGCTGCCTGGAAGCTTCCTCCGTCCTGAACCCTGTCGTGTGTCCCCCCTGCTCTATGGAAATGGGGTAAGCGGGGTGCAGGAGCAGGGGGAGGGGTCACCCTGACATTAGCTCCCCACTTCCCCCCTCCCTCCATACAGGAGTCTCTGGGAGCAGCTCCAAGGCCGAGGGCAGGAGCAGCACATGGCAGTGGGGGGAGGGACAGCTGAATGCCAGCAATTGCTAGCCTGCTGGGCAGCTGCAGCACAGGGAACTTAGGGGAGCTGATGGGGGGCTGCCAGTCCACCCTGATTCCAAGCCCGCACCAGCTAGCTCCAATGGGCTGCTCTTCCTGCAAGCAGTGGACAAAACAGGCGGCTGCCAAAGGACGTCAGAAGGGAGCATTGCACAACTTTAAATGAGCATGTTCCCTAATTGATCAGCAACGTAACAACGAAACAACGTTAACCAGGACGACTTAAGTGAGGAGTTACTGTACAGGGTTTACAGTTCGGTTAAATGGCTCTCAGCACCCCCACTATAAAAATTGTTCTAGCACCACTGTTCTGTATTACATACAAATTAGGGAAAAACTCAACCACTAAACTTATTGGAGTTCGAGTAAATACTGCAGGACAGGATCCTATACCAAAGTAATCATGCAATCTATGCATAGGAAGCATACACTACAAATGTAACTACTGTACAAAAGTTGCATTAATAACAAAATATTAGTCGTCTTGAATACCTGAAAATTTTCTTTCTCCGTCATTTTCATTTATTTTATTTTTCAGTTTACAGACACTATCACTCTATTTCAAAATATTCTATGTATATATACACATAGCACAAAATCCAGCTCTGTTGCACCAGTGTAAAGTTATAAATCCACTGAAAGTCAATAGAGTTACTTTGGATTTACATTTTATTTTAACTGAAAGTGGAATTCAGCCCACGCTGCTTATTTTTATCTTTCTCTCTTCATCTACCTCCATGCTTGATATAGTAAGCACTGAAAAGAGGGAACTCCCTTTCTGATTTGTCCTCTCCTAAATCCTAACTGAATTCAATTATTTTACTAAGGGGAACATACATCCCACAGCTCACACCCATGCCTTGCCCATCTATATGTATATGGGACATATTTTCTTATAAATTTCATTGTATTTTAATGAATGAGGCAAGAAAGGAAATAAAATACTTCTATCCAACCAATTTCAGTGACACTATTGGAGCACTTCAATTATGTATTAATTTATTTAGTTTTGCATAAACAACGAATTCTGCCATGAAAAGTCTAACAGTCTTGACTGAATAAACTTCATTAAAACTGAATATTTTAGTGGGGGGATGTTCTCATATAAGGAACCAATTATTATTTTAAAGTTAATACATTACTATAACAATCACATATTCAGAAACACTCTATAGTAATTTCCTCACATTTGTAACATAAATTAGTCATTTGCAAAACAAATTAGCCGTTTTGAATCCACTTTACTATAGCTCTGATTAATCAGGTTTTCTGGAGCTGAATGTTTGCAGCATTTGACATCTGAAACTTTTGTGGCTTTTCGTATAAGCAAAGAAATACTGATAATGGACAACTTCCAGCTGCAAGCCTCTTTTGACATTCTACAGGTTCCATTTTGACTAATGAGTACAAGTTTTTCATAATGTTAACTCAACAATATTAGGAGTTATGTTGCAATGAAAATATGAGCTTGAGTCTTGTACTGCATTTACATAGTTTTACTTCCATTAAATTAACAAACAGCACTTTGAATTAAAAGGGGAAAAGCAAAAGCTTTAATTCTTATTTCTATACACACACACACTTAATTCACTCTTGGATTTCCAAGCGCAATCCAGTTGACTGGGAGATAGTCATGTGATCTAAAAGACCTTTGAAAAAAGCCCCAGGGTGGTGCAATACGTTTATAATGTTTAGAGATTATAATCAAACATAGAATGGGCAAAACCTAGATTAGGCTAAACTACATCTTTGGACATTGTATCCCACTGTTTGTTCCTATCTCAGCCCAAGGGGGCAATAATTTTCCACAATAAATCTTCACTTCAGTCCCTATGTTACTGATATGTATATGTTCACAAACAAGTTTTCAAGTTATTTCTTTCTAAACAGTATTTGATAGGTATATTTCCTTCTATTTTTTCCCCCATCTTCAGTTATGTATCACAGACGATTTTCCTGTTTCGTCTTCTTTTGGCAGCTGTTATTTTGATCTGATCATTGGCCTTGATTTGTTTCTCTTTTCAGCCAAAGTTTAAAACTGCTCTGTAATTCCAAGCAGATGAGGCTGGCAGTCAACCCTATAATTATAACTTCTCTCTTTACTCTCTAACTTCAAACCTTCCATTTTGACTTTTAGATTCCCAGATCACAGAGTTTTAAGGTACACCTTGGCATCCAGGCAGGTCTGGCTCAACTAGACTTGTTTACATAGTCTATATATGTTTTGGAGGTGAGCAAATGCTCTCTCTATAAAAACAAAACACACAAATTTATTGAGTCTGTTTAGCTTAAAACTCTACAAACATAAAGAAAGACAATCCCCACTCCAAAACAGGCAATTTTAAGAAGCACTTTAAAGTTCTGACTCCGGTCCCCTATTCTAAGGCTGGATCCAGTGGGTGCCCAGTTTTAGTATACTTGAAAGAGGCACCTACTTTTAAAAGTAGATTTTAGGACCTGAGGAAGTTTATTGAAGAAGGCTGGATGCTGCAGAATACTTCAGTATTAGGTACAGTCCTCAAAATGCTGATGTAACTGAGTAGGTTGAGACACTCTGAGAAGAATATCTCACCAAAATTTTCAAACATGGGTGCATAAAGGGAGGCCTGTAAATAGGTATTTAGGCACCTAATTAAATAGCCTAATTTTCACTGGTGCTGAGCACCACAGTTTCAATTTTCTTAAAAAGGTATTTGAGGGTGCTCAACACTTCTGAAAATTGGATGCTTAAATGTGGCTTTATGCACCCAGCTTTGACCATTTAAGTGGTCCATCTTAAAATTAACTTATCACTTAAAATTAACCCTGCTCCCACCACAATGCTGTTTTGGAAGACTTTAACACTAGTGATATGTTTAGGCGGTATCAATGCAGAAGTGGGCATATTTTAAAATAACAGATCCAAAGAGCCTTAGTGTTCTAAATCAAATTATTAGGAGAACTAAACCCAGTACTAACATATTCTGTTATCCAAGCTCTCTCAATAAATACTCCCAAGTCCAAAGAACAGCTCTTAGGAAAAGCCTGCAGGTGAAATCCTGTTGAACCTCATAGCAAAGCTCTGGTTGAATTCATTAGGGGTAGGATTTTACTCAGAGCCTCTTAAAGCCGCATTGGATTGAGCCCCCAGATGGGATGCAGTGCCAGAGCTGGTACAGACATATATTTTAAATTAACATAATGAACAAGAACTTCATAGGCAACTGGTAGGGCACCTTCCATGTCATCCTGTTTGTAGAAGTTTGTCAAAATGTTTTATTAAGAAAGATTCTTAGCAATGAGGGTTTAAGAAAAGTAAATGAAATCATTGTATGCTTTGATTTTATATATCAATATACTTCCTCTCTAACAAACAAGAAAACTTAATCATGTGGCCCAACTATCCACTTCCAAGAAAGGCGGGCATAAACATGCATGAAACTTTTCCCCATATGAGCCTAGCTTGGTCCTTCAGAACCTCCTACAATTTTTGGCCACATCAAGAATCACCCAAAGGCTCTGGAACGCTCTTGAGACCGACCACAATTTAGGTTTTGGTTTAAAAAAAAAAAAAAAAAAAAACCACTCTCAGGACATAGTTTGGAAATTCTACAGGGGGTGGGGAAGGGAGAGAGCTCTTCTGAGAGTTGATCTTGGAAACGAATCACACAACTCCCCTCCCTGGAAAACGCCACCGTATTAAACTCCTGTATTGACGCCAGCAGCACAATGCTGCACCGCCTCCCCGTCCTTGCAGCCATCCTGGGAGAAGGCAACGGAGCCTTTAATAGTCTTGTAATAGACATTAACCCCAAGGGGGATCTCCCCTCGGGCACTCACCATGCAGGAGCAGGGCTGGGAACAGGTATCTAACCAGCTTGCAACAGGGAAGGGACATTTCCAGCTCTCCACCGCCTCCTCCTCTCGCCTTATTTCCTCTCCTTCCTCGTCTTCTCGGGCTCCCTCCAGTTCCCAGTAATCCGGCCCTGGGGGCTGGTGGGTGGGTGGCAGGCGAATGGTCCCGTCTTCAGCGCGGACCTGACAGCCAGGCAGGCAGGAGAGGCGCCGCGCGGGGCCAGCAGCGGCTCGGAAGGAGGCGAGCTGGGGGCGCCGCAGGCAGGGGCACTAGCCCAGGCAGAAGCTGCCGCCGGATCCTCCAGCCGGGGGAGCGCTCCCGCCACTCCGCCAAGCCCCCGCCGCCCGCCCGCGCTCATGGGGGGACGGTGGGTCCCATCGCTGGGCACCGCGGGGCGGACGTGCTCCCTCCTGGGGAGGTGCAGCGCGCTCCGGCTGTCACGCCTGGGGGAGCCGCTCTGCCCGGCGTCCGCTGGCTCCCGGGCGCCCCTGTCCGTCCCCGGCAACTTGTCTGCTCGCTCGGCAGCGGCAGCCGCGGCGGCTCCTCTTCATATCCCCCTTCCCGCGGCGGGGGCGGGGCCAGGCCGCGGGGCTCCGCGCTGCCAGAAACCGGACACCCGGCCACAAGAGGAGATCAGAGGGCGCGAGGCCGCGGGCTCCCAGTCCCGCCCGCTTCTGGCGGCTGCCCCCTCAGCCCACCCCGCCCTTGGGGGCGGGCTACCGAGCCGGCACTGTGAGCCCGCGGCCACCTCGCCAGTCTGTCCCCCTAGCCTAGCCCCTTCTAGCGATCAGCGTGTGCCCCTCCTGCCTCCCAGCCTCGTCTCATCGCCATCCGGATCCTGGCAAGGGGGGCACACAGCTCCTCCAAGGAACTAGGGGAGCAGTGGCAGAGGAGCGGGAGTGAGGCTCAGCTGGGGTCCCCTTGCCCCCTGGCAATCCAGGCCTGGAACCACCCATAGGTGCTGGAACTAGGGGTGCTCCGGGTGCTGCCGCACCCCCTGGCTTGAAGCGGTTCCATCATATACAGGGTTTGCAGTTTGGTTCTATGGCTCTCAGCACACCCACTATACAAATTGTTCCAGCGCCCCTGGAACCACTATGGGAAATAGTAGGGGAAATTATTCGCCAGTTACAAATAATATTGTATTTGTAAATAATGTGTCGGGCAAATGGGATCTAACCATCTGTAAAGTTGGAAAAACAACCGGGAATAGTTATTCATCAGTTGGCTGGGAAAATCAAAATCAGCCAAACTATTGGCAAATACTGTTCGACCAGCTGTCCTGGAAAGGAATGAGTCTTGCCAGCAGTGTTTCACTTTACTGTATATAAATAACATTTTCAGACAGGTATAAAAATACAGATAGGCCTGAACTGCAAGGGTGTCTAAGACATATATTGATTAAAATAAAAAAACCAAGTATATACTTTTGCCTGAAAGGCCTTAGGCAACATACACATGAGGGAACTGTTAGAAATCCCAGTGTAAATTAGGCAACTTTTAACTAAAAAGAAACGTCTAAGCTCCCTTCTTTGGAGTTCCATTCTGCTGCTTGCATTCCTCCATGTCTGTTGTTGATTAGTTTTGCTTTGAGTCTAGCTTTAGGCCCCAGTCATGCAAACACTTATGCATGTGCTTAACTTTATGCATGTGAAATCAGTGGAACTACTCAGGGGCTTAAGGCTAAGTACATGCGTGTTTTCAGGATCCAGGGCCTTATTTTGTAATAGCCACTGGCCAGAAACTTCCTCTTTTCATTTTTCCTTGTGTTCAGTTCCTGCACCTCATTGCCAGAAATGTGTGACAAATTGGAGAGAGTTCTGGGGAGAGCAACATAACTAGTTAGAGTTCTGTATAGATGAACTAAGTAACAATTAGCACTTTCATAGTACTTGATATATTCAAAGGGATGTACAGACATTAATTAGCTAATCCTTCCAAGACCCTCGTGAGATATGTATAAGTATTAATATGCCCATTTCTACCATGCGGGGTGGGGAACTGAGGCAGACCCTAACAGAGAGTCAAGATTAGAACTCAGGAGTTTCTGATTCTCAACCCTTGCTCATTCCTTTACACAAGTGTTTCCCAGACTGTGGACTGTGGTTTGCAAAGCACTTACTGGAGATGTACTGATCAGATGGTGTTAGCTGTCCTCCATATTGCCTGCTAAGTGAGATAAAATGAAGAGCAACACTTGTTTTTGTGTGTTTTTAAACAGGCGAACATGCTTCTCACATTAAAGACAGTTAAAAATATACAAATATGTACCCAGTGTAACTTTTCCACATTCAATTAATTGTTGTAGTAGCCACAAAGGGATGCTTCATAATCCTGTATGGGAAAAGAGATAATTTTTGGCATGATATCTCATTTATGTTGCAGTACACACTATGAATGTGTTTGGAAACCCTGCTTTACACCATGCTGCCTTATGAGAAAAGACAAAAAGAACTAAATATGTGTAGTTTGTCAAAACAATAAGTGAGGAGGGACAGAAGTCTGCAAATATTTAAAAAATGTAAACGAGGAGAGAAACAATTTAGGATAACAGAACAGACCACAGAGTAACTAGAAATATTGGAATTAAATGAAGAAAGTAGAAAATTAGGGTGAATATCCAGAAAACTTTTCTGAAGGTGCTATCTGTTTGACTGGGGAAATGGTGGATGTAGTACTACTGCTAGCAACAATCCTACCTTGGTAGGAAGAGGTACCAATAGTTCTCTTTCCTCTGTAGATTTGTGATTGAGTTAATGGATAACTTCAGTGAGTGAGGAAGGATCAAATAAACAATGAAAAGGCAATGTTTATTTAAATATGGTAAAATCATCTGCATTTATGGTTTCTGAGGACCCGACACCCAACAGAGCAGATGTAACCCCAACAATGAGCTATGATATGAGACATCACTGTCCTTCTGAGCAACGAGGTACTGCATTGCGGACAAAGAGATAGTATAAGTACAAAAGAAGGATGGTGTGCATAAAACACAATGTACAACTGTCGAACATGGGGACAAGATTATTAAGGGCAGGTTGCACAGGTTAGGAGTAAGCCATATTGTAAGAGTCACACACCTTTGGCGCAGATACAGATTGTGGTAGAATGCAGTGTGTGGGAGAAGGCTCTGCTAGTATAAATTACCTACTCCTGCCACTTAATGAATGCATGTCACTTCAGAGCCCAATGAGGCTCCTTACTGTTGCTGCCTTGTCTCATCCAGCATATTACCACATCTTAAAGAAGCAACAAGTCACAAGACAAAACAGCCTGGGGCTGGAATGTGAAAGATAGACTTGACTCAGTCATTACAACAGAAGTGAAGGACTAGCAATCATGGAGTGTAACAGATAAAATTCCCCCAATGAGAATATTCAATCAAGCTATACCCACTTAAAAATCAAATGCAAACTAGTGAATAGATAAAATCATCAGTAAGTAACCAGTTCATCCAACAAGTTAACAGTGTCTTCTGGGAATTAGTTATTAATGATACTGCCACGGAGGTCATGTGTACTTACGTAAAAAAATTAAAAGGAACAGCAATGGCTTTATTACTGCATTGAACAACTCTGTGAATTAGGCTCCATTTGTGATTTACTATCAATGCCGTTTCAGATGTGGTAATGAAATAAAATGAAATCAGTACCTAATGAGCTTAGACACTACAGAACATTCCAAAAACAACACAGATTGTATTTTGTCTTTTTATGTGTCTTTTTAAATTTGTGTGATTTTAAGGATATGTGACTCTGTAGACCAGGGGTGGGCAATAATTTTTGCTGGGGGGCCACTCCACGAATTTTGGTAAGTTGTCACAGTCTGCACATTTCTACTGTATTAATGGAGTGCGGGGTTTGGGGTCTGGAAGGGAGTTTGGGTGCAGGAGGGAGCTCCAGGCTGGGGTAGGAGATTGGGGTGCAGGAGGGGATGCAGGGTCTGGGAGGGAGTTTGGGTGCAGGAGGGGGTTCTGGCCTGAGACAGGCAGTTGGGGTGCGGGAGGGGGTGTGAGGTGCAGGCTCTGGCTGGGAGGCGCTTACCACAGGTGGTTCCCGGCCGGCGGCGCAACAGGGCTCAGGCAGGCTGCCTGCATGCCGTGGCCCCATGCTGCTCCTGGAAGCGGCTGCGGCCGGCAGCTGCTGGCACGTCTCTGTGTGTCCCTTGGGGGGAGGGGAGCAGTGACTCTCCATGCGCTGCCCACACCTGCAAGCACCACCCCTGCAGCTCCCATTGTCCGGTTTCTGATTCCCTGATGCAGGATATATGCCTAAACACATACGTAATGTAAGTGTGGGGAGGGAGGGATAGCTCAGTGGTTTGAGCATTGGCCTGCTAAACCCAGGGTTGTGAGTTCAATCCTTGAGGGGGCCACTTAGGGATCTGGGGCAAAATCAGTACTTGGTCCTGCTAGTGAAGGCAGGGGGCTGGACTCAATGACCTTTCAAGGTCCCTTCCAGTTCTAGGAGATGGGATATCTCCATTAATTTATTTTATTTATAATCTTCTTGAAATCCAGCTCTTGGTTGTGTTTCTTATAAATAGCATGGGATCAGAAACATTTAAAGAAGGAAGTAAGGAGGTCAGCTGAAGTTTGAGTATGCCAGCAGCCATTTTGAATAATAATTTTGCAGGGGATGCATTTTAGGGCTGGAGCTCTGTGTGCAAAAGAATTAAGGTGAGGAAAAAGCCAACTGATTGGACTTGTAGTGTGACTCTTCAAAGAACTAAGCATATCAGCATCACACTTGTCAAGCTAAAGTTCAGGCTAGCTGGCTGGCAGCCAATGCCAATCTCACCATGAGGGGTATTTTAAAAAAAAACATATTGGAAGAGAAAGGAAGGTTGGGAGAATATAGACACTGTAGTTTTTTTGGGAAGGATAGGACATTAGTCTTGAGCTCAGTAATGCTCTGCCAATGCCATATACTGTACTATGATCTGCTAATGGCTAATTAAATTTTTTAAAAAGAAAAATACTGTTTTGAATAACAAATGTAGTTTGAAAAGAGCAGGATGTAAAGATTTATTAGAAGGAGACCTGAGCCAATAGTTTCTGACAAATAATTTATCTATAATATTTCTGTTTGTGAATTGGCCATGAAAAGATTGTCAAATTCTTGAATTTATTCATTACTTGAAATTAGTTTTGAATTTTTTCAGTTAATAATTCTTAATCTGCAGATTATTCATAAAGAATTCATAATGAGTATCTAAAACTTACACAGTGTTTTCTGATTGGATTCTTTATGTGACTAAACAACACAGTTGAATTACAAATCTTACAAT